AGAGAGAGAGAGAGAGAGAGAGAGAGAGAGAGAGAGAGAGAGAGAGAGAGAGAGAAGCAAAGAGACGAGAGGAGTGCCTTTCCGTCGGAAAGTGACCAAAGTGCATCCTGGGCTCGACATATCGGAGCAGCAGGTAGAAAGATTGCAGGAAGAAGCAGAGCGCAAGGGAGAGAAAGAGCGAGGGAGGAAAGGATCCGCGCGCGTCTAACGTGTGCGCATCGGCGTGGAACTCGGCGAGGCCGGATTCCGCGTGCCCTGTGCGTAACATAGGTGCGTGCGTGCGTGCGCGCGTACGTACGTACGCGGCGTACGTACGTGCGTGCGTGCGCGCGCGCGGGGACCTGTTGATAGGTCGCGCAGGTGTACGAAGGTGGGCCCCGTGTCCCCCACTCTACCTTCTCCCCCTTTCGTCACTGCCGCTGCCGCCGTCGTCGCTACCGCCATCATCACCACCACCACCGTCACCACCGCCCGCCGCGGACCGCTGTCGCTGCCGTCGACGACGACGACGACGACGAGAGAGAGCATACACTCTCGGTTAACGCACGGCGCGTTATGATCGCCTGATCAACGAAAGGATAATTCGGCATCGCCGCTCTGCCCGTTATCGGGGCCGGATGCCTTCGCCATCCGTATATGGTGCTGTGGAAAAAAACAGAGCTCGCACCAGACGAGGAATAACAATTGTCATCGCGCGAGCGCGGATTTTGAGTGAGGAGCGCGCGAGTGCGCGCGTGCAGGTGTTTGTTTGTGTGTGAGTGCGGGTGCACGGGATCAATCCATCGGAACCGTCTATAAATTATCGTCGTTGCCTTTACGCCTTACGTTTTCCTTCTTGGATTCCTCTCCCTTTCCCCTCTTTCCCCGCCGTCCCTCTTTCCGTCGCGCGCGGGCTGACCATCGGTGGAACACCCGAGAGTGCTGAGTGCCCTCCTGGTTTTTGCGTTGTGGACCGCGCGCGCGCGAGAGTGGTGCCAAGCAGCGTGAGCCGTGAGGTGAAGTTACGCGTCACGCGTGTGCCTGTGGTGCAGTCCGTCGGGCCCCGACTTGAGATGCCGTGGCTGTTCAAACTACGGACTCGCGATTAGTTAGGTGAGCAACGACTTACGTCTACTTGTTTTTCTTTCCTTTTTCTCAATCTTTCTTATAAATACCTAATAGAGGTGTGCAACGTTTCTCCTTTTATCTTTATCTTTCAATCGTCTCTTTGTATTTTTTTTTTCTACATATTTGTCTTTCTTTATTCCATCTTTCTCTCTCTCTCTCTCTCTCTCTCTCTCTCTCTCTCTCTCTCTGCTCGGCGACGCTCGCGACGCACTCGTGCGACCGCGAGATTCCTTCTTCTATTTCCTTTCTTTCCCATCGCGTCCCACCGCTCTACTCTCCGACCCACTTCTTCCTCAAGCTCTTCTGGCTCCTCAACGGTTGCCGTCGCTCATTGTCGCCGCTACCGCTACCAACCGCTACCCCGCCGTCACTCGTCAGCCTGGCCCGATTATTTTAGACGATGACGCGCCTCTACGCTGTATGCCTGTATGTGACTCGCACGCGCTTCGGAGCACCGCGCCGACCTTATCCTTGTATATTCCAGCGCGCCGCATTCCAGCGCCCGCTAGCAGCGCGAATCAGCGCGAATGCGAATGCAAATCCGCCGCTCGCGTCAGGATGTTATTTCCATGGTATATAGATTATGGAGGCGGCGCGTGCGGAGAATGACGCGCGATGCGGTGCGGTGCGGTGTGGTGCGGTGGTTGTTTACCGCCTTCGCCGTCGTCGTCGTTTCTCGAATCTCCCGGGCGAGTCACGACTCACCACGACTCACGAGCACTCACGAGTTCCGTCAATTGAGGGGCTTGGCAACGAACGAACCGGAGCGACCGGCGCGGCGCGGCGGTGCGGGGCGGCGCGCGAGTGAATTCCTACGAAATCGCCCCGCTTGCCCATTAACGAACCGCGGCGCGGGTTTGGAGCCCGTTTCGGAGGGGGCCGTGCCGAGCGAGCGAGCGCGCGGGTGGTCTCTCCCGTCTCTCCCGAAAACGTCCGTGAACATCCGGAGAATGGAGACTTACGGACGTTTTCTCCCGTCGCATACCTGACCCGGTGGGCCCGCCCGAAGAAATCTCGGATCGTTCTGTCCATTCGTCTATCCATCTTAACCGCCTCGGTGGTCGGCTGGTCACACGAGAGGCAATACACCACAGTGCTGTGTATACCGTGTATACCATGTATACGTGTTTATTCGCCGCAGCCTACACCTTTTGCCGCCCGCGCCCACCATAATCTCGCACCGCGAGGAATGCAAGCGTGACGAGCCTTTTCCGCGCGAATGCGTACATCGGTAAATTCATTGTCCTTGAAAAACAAGTTGGTCGCTACGAGAGAGGCGTTTCTCGAGGAAAGGATCTACGGATTACCTAACACGCAACGAGAGTTGCTTGGTCGCCGATCCACACCGCGCGATTCCGTTCCGTGAGCGAGCCATCAGCGGTCCAACGCAAGAGAGGCGGCGGCGGCAGACAGCTTGGCTCTGGTCTCACCAACCTTTTCTTTCTCTCTCTCTCTCTCTCTCTCTCTCTCTCTCTCTCTCTCTCTTTCTGCTGCCAGGGACCGCACGAGAGGACCGCGAGCCCTCGTGCCGCGGATGGGCTAATGATGTATCCCACTGAGCGGTATAAACCGCCATATTGTATCCCGCTGTCATCTGCCAAGCCCGAGCAAAGACGCGCGATTGGCGCAAATCGGAGTCCGATCAATTCTAGCATCGGGATCAAATGATAATCCATCTCTGATTCTGCTCTTCTTTTTTCTTTTCCCCAACGAATGCGATCATCGTCAAGCATATGTGTATTTGTACGTACATATATATTGTAGGGAAGAAGAAACAGTTGAAGAAACAGTTATAAGTATAATAAAAATCAAATGTTTGAGAATAAAGATGAAAGAAAATGAAGAAAAATGAGAAATATGAGAAAAGATGATAACATTAGAATAGCCGAAGGTGATTTCCTATTCTTGTTTTCGATTAGTGAAGAATTATTTTAGTATTATTTGTATTATTAGAATTATTTCACATATTTTATATTATACTCACACATTTTCAATATTCTGTACTGCATAATATCTAAATACAAAAAAGAAAATAAAATGATAAAATAAAATGATATTAAAATGGTACTATTAGCGGTTTTAGTGTTAAAATATCTATTCTTATATTTTTTTTGAAGAAAGTTCTGATGGGAATGTATTGTATACATTGATGCAATAAGTTGAAGTGAAACAAATAAACTTGTTTATTACACTAATGTATACCAGAACTTTGAAAAAAAATAGGCCTAAAGATGGTATTAGTTTATACATATGATTTTTAAATACGATTTGTGTAGTGAAAGAATTTTTATTCTCGTCCTCTTTTAGAAGACGTACGAGAATGAAAAGAGGTATGTATCTTCGATGAGAAAAGGAAATTATTAGGCTAATTAATTAACATCATTATTAATGAGAACGAATACAGTGATGAGAATACACTGTTCATATACGAATATCAAGAACTCATACCATAACATCATACGTTTGTATTTTACAGAATGGAAAAGAAGAAAATATCGTGTTCAATTACGAGAGAAGTGGTATTTTGCTAATAATGTATCTTCTTAATGCATATTTATTACATGGTTTATGATTCATTCGAATGCCTTGCGATTTTCCGTATTTAATTTCATGTCACTAAGGTGTTTTTTATAGCACCTCCTTTTTTCATTCAATAGAAAATATTTCAATTCTTTTGCATTACCTATACGCGAACCAATTGCCCAATTTACGATTAATAATTTTCTGACGATTTTTGAACTTACAGTTTCAATTAACTTTGGCAGAATGCATTGTTTACGTAGGTTGCGGAACGAGTTTTATTTATGCTCACAACGCTCTTTGAATAATTAAGTGTGTTTAACAGGGAAAGCAACTTTGCAACTGTTGTAAAATTCTTTAATATAATTGAATCTTGTCTTTAGTTTTCCCATTAGATTTGAATCAATTATATATTAAAAAATCTTATAACAAGCTGTTTTTACTACTGTTATTATTACTGTTGTTTCTATTGAATGCAGCCATTCTTATTAGCCGTGTTTAGCAAGAAAAACAGCTTTGCCACTATTGCAAGATTCTTTATTGATTGATTCTGGCCTTTAGTTCTTTGTTAATATAAATATCTAAATTAATCATGTTAAAGAATCTTACAACAGTTGTTTTTCCAACTGAACGCAGCTATTAGATTTTTTCGTTGCTAAACGGGACAATATATATTCGAACATTGAAAAAAAAAAGTGAAGATTCTGAATGCAAAAAGTACAAGCAACACGAACAGTCCTATTGTTTATTAAACAAGAATAAATGATATTCACGAGTGTTGAGAGTGTAGATTAGATCACAATTTTAAAGCGCATTTTATCGCAATTTTAAAAACAAAAATCCCCAAAAATATTCACGCCGATATTACATTGCGTATCTATAATTATTTTTTTGCTTTATAATATAATTCTTCGTGCTTAATGATCGATCATGAAGGGAATATTTAATTAAATTCAAATTATAAAATCAATATGTTTAAGAAAGATACTTGTTTCCATATCACATGCAAGATCGTAAAGTTCCAGACCTCTGTGAAGTTGACATCCCATTGTCAAAATTTCGATATAATTAATAGAGCTGTTTGGTTCTTTCCCAAAAAGGGGAAGTTCTAGAGTTCCTGATAGCCATTCTGATACGATAATTCATTCTGGCATAACGTTAACGGAAGAAGTCGTTCGCTGATCTCAGCATTTTATACTGAATGAAACCGAGAGTGTGACCAGAGGATGAGAGGGGAATGGAACATATATCCGTTCAGCGTCCACCGAGCGAGTCGCAGCGCGCATAAATATTCCCCGCCTTTGAGAAACGCGCGCTTAAAAAAATCGCGGATAAAACCAGTTTTGTCCGGCCGACGGAACTCTACCGTTAATGTATATGGCAAGTATGTCACGACGCAAACAATGTTCGATCGATTCCGAAATTATTATCGAGCCGCGAACTTATAGCGAAAGCCGTCACACTCTCCGAATAGCGAGCGCGAGTCACGACTTTTTGAGAGCGCGATCAACTCCTCTCAACATTGAGAAAAATTTCTGGGAGTCGATTGTGTATCTTAAAACAAGGTGAAAATTAGCGAAATCACTTAGTAGGCGAATCTTTCACTAACAAAATTAGATTCTAGTAATTTTGCTCACTTTTGTAATTTTTACATCATTTCAAGATATACAATTGACCTTCTGAAAATGAACGAACTAGAGAATCGATTGTGTATCTTAAATCGAGATGAAAATTACAGAAATGAAAAAATTTACTTTAGACCAATAAAATCATAAATATTTTAACAAATTTCGTATAATTTTGCGCAGATGTCAAATGCAGTCATATTCAAATAGACTATTACATTTGTTTAAACTATTATATTTAAATTATACACTGCCAAAAAGATGAGCATTGTAATCTAATTTAGTTTCCATGCAGAATTTAGATTTAATTGACAATATAAGCACACATAATTAAGTAAAAACACAAAAATATATAAGTAAAAAAATAATGTGATGTCGATTCAAATCATCGCGGCAAAATAGTGATATCTGGCATTCAATTCTCATTGGATAATTAGAAATGTGTATGCGCAATGGCACACCTGAGTTTTTTCCACGATTCTAATCAGATCAATCAGAATTCTGGTTATTTCAATTAGAATTATAATAGATTCAATTAAGAAAATTATTCTGATTTGTCTATTTTCAATCAGAATTCTAATTAATGCAATTAGATTCTTTCCAATGCAGAGAATATGCCGGGTAAATAATCGCATTTAAATGAGTTGGCTCAATTAAAATGACGAGAGAAAAGACAGGTGAGCTCATTCAAGAGATATGAATATTAATCTAATAAATGGTGCACATAAATTTATTAAAAATGCTGGATTTTTTTCATATTAGTGAGAAATTTGGAGGTTTTTTTTTAATATTGACGAATGACCTATCTCAATTAGATCTGACACGATGCTCACGTTTAAGCTCTCCGATTGGAATTTATCGTATTACTTCGCTGCCATTAAGTTTTATTGACCGAATTGTAATATAAAAAAATCCAGATTTTATTAATGTAAAAAAATCCAGTATTTTTTACATAAATCTTTTATATGTGCATCTCATCATTGATTCAGTTGATATCTCTTACTTATGTTTCTCGAGTTTATCGGTCGCCAACCCAACATATTAAAAACTCGTAAAAGTTTTGCATGCATAGATTTTGATGAACTATTATTATGTATTATGATTAAAGTCTGACTTATCTATTTATCAAACCGTACGTATGATATTTAAATTTTATAGGCTATATTCGTAAAACATTCGCATGTATTTTATGTATTTTACTTTTATGTATTTTACTTTTTTACGTGCTACTCGCGCCTGTATTGTTACTAATAATAGAGTAAGTTCATCAAAAAAAGTGTGCGCAAGCTAATTATTAAATTATTAAATCCAGTAAGAAGTAATAATGTTCAACTGGGTATGCATTCTCAATCAAATATCAGCTTAATCAACAATAAAAGGTGATTATAGAAGGAAAGTGAATATATATGGATATAATAATTATGATATAAAAAGAAATTCATGCAATGATTATGCGATTATTTTTGTATTTTCCATTGAATTTGCCAATCGTCCAATTCACTCTATGAGACTTCGAAAGTATTTTTGAATCACCGTATATAAGATCCGTAAAAAAAATCCACTCGAGAGTAAGAGAAAGCGATTACTTTGAAACAGAGTCCGATTCGACAAATCCCTCCTCATCTATTGGTAGGCTCCTTGGAACCGAGGCCAATCGAATTGAACTCCTGGGCCTGCTCTTCCTTTGCTTTAATGCTGACTCAGAGAGTCATTATGCAGCTCCACTAAGGACAATTTTCGAGTTTTTTGCTGTATTTTGAAAGATCTCGCGAAGTTAAATTAAATTAAATGAAATGCGTCAACATTCCTTTTGCGTTCATTGAGAGAAAAATGTATTAAATTTTAATAAATATTTATTTGAATATAGTGCTAACTGAATATTTACTAAATGTAAATATAGTATATTTATTTGATATATCATTAATTTGTTTTAATTATCCTCATTTTGTTAAATATTTATTTACTGTAAGTAAATGTTAAAATAGTACTATTCAGACAAGTATTAGGTATGGGAAAAAGTGGCGTTTTTTTAATGTCAACGACCTAACGAGAAAAACGCCACGAACTTTTTCCCATATCTAATATTTAGTAAAATTTACTTTTTTTTTCTAGTGTAGAACTGTTATAAAAATTAACGTAGAATTAATTTCACTTGGCTTCATGGCACTTCGAATAAGTTTTTATTAAAAATTTATGAAGATGCTCAAAAATTTGTTGAAGATAAATCTTTATTCTCTTGTTTATATCCTTCGTTGATGTTAATTTTTATAATTTAATCTTTCTAAGGGAAAGTTGTTTTATTTCACAGAGAAAAATGTTTAATTGTACCAACAAAGAAGTACAAATATCAGAATTCTGATTATTGCGACTAGAATGTTTAGTAGATTTATTATATCTGATTTGTACTTTTCTGGTTGAATAATGTGCGGCTACAAGATTTTTTCAAGTGTTTCTTCTCTGAATTCTTTAGATTTCCTAATGCATTTCCTAATGAACATCTCAATCATTCTAAAGGTATTCAAGGATTTGAAAATATATTATTTTTATTGTATACTTTCGTTGATTGATATCTTAATTTTATTGCATGCTTTTAGATTTTCTTATATATTAGATATAGTAGATTTTCTTATATATTAAAATAGGAAAGAAATATTGAAGAATTTTCTATATATGAAGTATACTTGGCCGAAAATATTAAGTATCTTATTAACCATTATTTAATGTTTTAATACAAATTTGTTTATGCCTGCATTTGTGCTGTGAATTTATCCTTTGTTTCAAGAATCCTTTAAACTTAAGTATAATTAATAGGAAACAACAGGTTAGATAAATGAAATTCGGATTAATGAAAAAATTTAGATATTTAATATTTTTAATGTATCTATTCTCGAATAAAGATAATAAAATATTTTTTTAAGTGCATTGTAATGGCATGATTCATCGCTTTCGTATTAGCTGTTTAACAATCTGAGAGATTATAGTTTATCTCTCTAAGCCATCCCTTCCCTAAATTCTTTGGACCTTTGGAGTTTTTAGACCGTTGTGCATTCTCTAATGAACACCTCAGTCCTGCTGTCATCCTGTTAGGTAAAAGGAGCTCTTTCTCCTGTGATTCTTCTGAGAGATTCTTCTAGAAGACCATTGAGTAGAAGATCACTTAACTTACTTGAAATCGATTGTAAGAACGTTCTAATATTATTTCTTTCGTACAAAACTATTAAATTTGTAAGGAATAAAAATACGATTTAAAAATAAACATGATTGCGTGTTGATCGTTTCCAGTTACATATAATGGCTGCATTTAGCAGAAAAAGCAACTCTGCAACTCTTGTAAGATTCCTTAATATGATTTATACATTTAAATTCAATGAAGAACTAAAGGCAAGATCAATCGTACATAGATTTAGATGTGAGAAATTAAAGGCAAGATCAGTCATATTAAATAATTTTATAACAATTGCAAAGCTATTTTTCCTGTTGAACAGACAATATTAAATTGTATTTGTATATTTTCAGTGATATCAAATAACAGAGTTCTGTCTTATGCATGTGATCTCAGTCTAGGGTATTTATAATCCAGTCTTATTTTAAGAAATGTCTTAAGATATTAATATGACTTTCTGATTAGTTCATGACCAGTCCAGTTTCTCGTATTAAGAAGAAACTCGTATTTATCAAATACGAGCTAGAATTCAGAATCTGCCATAATTGTACTACCCATAACAGTAGCGAGTCACTAATCTACAATGATAGTCTCTTTTAACACATTTCTTCTTTTCGTACTTTCAGGGAGGTAACGTAAGTGAGTGACGACGTCACGATGCGCATGTCGCTGCCGCTGGGGTTAGTGCTTGTGGCAGCAGTCACGCTGCTAGCAAGTGTGAATGCTAACGCGGGGACTTACCTACGCATCGACACGGACACGGCCACGTCGTCGTATCACTTCGGAACGAAGGATCGCGATCAGGTGATAGCCGGGATGGAGGCCAGCCTGCTCTCCCTCCTGGGCTTCACGAAGAGACCGAGGCCGCAAGGTCGAGTATACATCCCGAAATCGCTCAGGGATCTTCACGCTCGTCAGAACGCCATCGGTATCGCGGATATCGCGAAGCCGGGTATTCACGCGAGATCGGCCAACACCGTTCGTTCGTTCCCCCATATTGGTAAGTTAGATTATATCAGCTAATACGGTTGAAAGAGATACAATTTTAAAAAATTGATATTAAAAATTAACTGTTAATAGTAGTTATAAATAATATAATTAATAACTAGGTGATGCGCACCAAATTGCGATACATGAGAACGCGTATATTATTTTTTTTTATTTATAATACATATTATGTTTTTTTTATTTTTAATTGTTTTTATTATTTTTTTTATTTTGTACTCTTTTTGATTATTCTTTTATTTTTTATTTATTATTAAATTTTTTATTAAATTTTTTTACAATAAAATTATTCGCACATTTAAAATTTGTGTTAATATTCTTATAAAGATGCTTATTAGCCTTAAAAATTATTGAATTACTTGTCAATTTAATAAGTGATATTATTATACTACTTTAATTCTGCTCACGAATGCGTTTCAAGACCGAAAAAGATTTCGGCGCGCAATTTGCAGAATCAGATATTTATTATATATAACTTAAAGAAATATTTATGTACTAAGATCCGCTTTTACTGAATGTAGGAATTTCTTTTATTTAATTAAATTTTATTAATATGATATAAAATATTATTTAGTTTATTCGAATATACGTAATATACGAAATATAATTATAGTAGGAAATTATTATTGTCCTTTTTATAAAAATGTGTGTATCATGAAAGATTAAATCTATATGAAATTTACAGCGATAATCTAATTAAAACTAATCTTGACAATATATATAGTAGTATTGATGAAACAAATAACATCTTATTAAAGCAAGAGTACAAAGTATTTTTTTTTATTAATACTATTATTGTGAAAAAAATTAACTACATTATTTTTAATTTACATTAATACTGTTAATACCTTATTTTTTCTGTGTAAAATTATTTTAACGGGAATTATAAATTTATACTGTTTATATTGGAAATTATAAAGATACAAATATTCGGTCATAAAAAATAGCTTTCTTTATCGTTTTTCGGAGACAACTCAACATCCATTTCTACTAATATAGATTAGCTTTAATTTTGGTTTAGCTTACTCTATCTTTTTTCTAATTCTTAGAACTATAAAAAAGATAAAGATATAAAGATATAAAAATAAAGATAAAACGTAAATGAAACTAGGATTAGAATAAATTTACTTACATAAAAACGGACGTAAGTCTAATGATAAAGTACAAATTTTTGGAAACAACAGAAAGCATTATTGAAATAGAATCGAATAAATTTTGTCGATAAAATTATATCGTACTATATTTTGAGTATAGTGATATGAACAAATCTTTTCGGATGTGAGTAAAATTATAATTACAACAGAATCGGACTGTTTATAAATTATTTATTGATAAATAAATAATTTGTTTATATTTTAATAATTTTATTGATAAAATTTCAATAATAGAAATTATGATATAGGTGCATTAATGACTGTATTCAGCAAAAAAAGCAGTTTTGCAACTGCTTTAAAATTCTTTAATATAGTTTATACATTACATTAATTTACATTTAGATTCAATAAAGAACTATAGGTAAAATTAATTATATTAAAGAATTTTACAACAGTTGTTTTTACATTTATACAAAGTTGCTTCTTCTGCTGAACGCAGTCAATGATATGACTATAGATTGTGCTTCTGAATGAGTTTACTATGTTCTAAACTGATAAACAAAAAAATGATTTTATTAACACGTGTGGACAAACATAAAAACCTTTACTATGTATTCGCAATTCGTGAATCATTAAACGATGGTAAGAACTAGCGAGTTGGAATTCGTAATTCAAAAACAGGTTGGCGACTCTTTCGACTCTCAGTGAAAGTGCAGTAGTAAACGGAATGCAATATACACCCGTTATCAATCGTTATTCCTTCTATCTCGTTGACAAACGTGAATGACAAATTTTCAAATTCAAGATTCAATAATTTCTACATATTGTTCTACATATTTCTACGTATTTTTCTACATATTGTTACGATGTCACTTCTCTCTCGAACGCTATTATGCGATTATGCAATTTTGCAGATCTCTGGTTGCGGATTTCTGAAATCATTCGCTTTTGCAATAACAAGTTAAATAATGTTATAAATAACATCGATTATATCGTTATAAATATTTCTTGCATTAAAAAAAATTTTAAATACAGAATCTTGTACTCTGAGTAAAAAATGATTGCAATTATCATAATTTAACCATAATGTATAATCATTTTCTTCAAAATCATTTATATATTTTTTGAGAACTATAAATATAATAATTATTAATAAGATAGGAGTAATAATTATAGCAGTAATAACTAATAACGGAGCTTCTAGTCATAATTATTTTAACGTACAATTACAGTTAGTAAATATTAAATACTTTTCTCTCAGCGTAAGGTTGACATAAATGCAAAGCATTGATCGATTACAAAGAATCTATAATGATAATAATTTTACAATGTATAAATATTCTTCTCCTTCACTTTATTTACACGAATTTGTTACTCAGTAATTTTGGGAAGGCATTATCTCATAAATTACAGGTTTACATTAAGCGTAACTGGTGTAATTAACCTGATTGACATAATTGTAAGCATTAAGGTTTATTCCATGTGCAGGAAACATGTGATTCTTTCTCTTTATAAAAAATGTATTATCATTCAGTGAAAATAATATATTTGTGAGAAAATTTTATATTAAAAGCTTCATTAAAGAGTGTACGAATTTTTCTTTTAAAAGATTTCACAATTTATGTATTGTTATGTACACGATTTTTGTGGATAATACGTATATAATTTCTGATTGAATACAATAATCCACATGAAAGCTTCTAAGTATTTCAACCGTCTTTTTTTAAAATAGCGAACGAATGTAGGTGGTAAATACGTTGGATCTGACAAAATATTTTTAATCTTTACAAAGAGATGACAATTTGGATAATTGACTTTTTAGACTCCGTCTTAAGAGTTTAGGGATATACCTGCGAGTAATGCGTTGCCTTTGGGACTCGCCTCCTGCGTGAAAAGGAGAAGAATGGTATTTGAACGATTTTATGGTTGTTCAACCGACAAAGGGCTTTCATGATGATTGTAAGGAACATGCCATTGGGTTATGGACTTGAATGTCCCACAGAGACTCGACGACAAAAGAAGAAAAGGATCTAATTCTTTACACGCTCTATCTTTTTTTTGTGAGTGTATTATTGTCACGATGATGAGACTACCTTGGAATGCCTGAACGGACTCTCATAAGAATCGCCGCCAATATCTTTCGCTCTCAGGAGGTCCAGCTTCCGTTCCAATGATTCACATCCGGATTAGCTTAGGCATTCTTCTTTAAATTTGCGTTACAATGGACAACTGCCGAAATGATTCTGAAGCTAAACATTGGAATAGTAGAAGAACTTATGGGGATGATATAACATGTGGAGAGAAAGTGCCAAGAGCAATTAAGGAAGATGTGCAATAGAAAGCGACCGGATATATCGCGAGAAACCCGTCTTAATAAATCATTTTGATAAAAGCGTATCTGATTATATCCGCGTTGAAGGCTAAATCGTAAATTTACTACGCCAAAACATGTTCCTTTTATTATCAAATTGTTTCCAATCTTCGACAT